AAGAAGTAATTTTGTGACATCAACAACCAAAAAGGGTAGGGATGGAGCTATAAAGGAGCAGAGTTTTCGTATGTTATTGAAGTTAAGCTGGTATAAATTCAAAATGTGTTATAACTTTAGAATGTTAACTGTAATCCCCATGGTAACCACAGGGAAAATACCTATAGAATATAAACAAAAGAAAATGAGAAAGGAATTTAAACACTTCACTACAAAAAATCAACTAAACATAAAAGAAAACAGTAACGCAGGAAATGAGGGACAAAAAAAGCTATAAGGCATAGAGAAAACAAATAGCAAAATGACAGAAGTTTCTCCTAATTAGTAATTACTTTAAATGTAAATGAATTACACTCTCTATTCAAAAGACAGAGATGAGCAGAATGGATAAAATCACATGATTCAACTATACACAGTCTACAAGAAACTCACTTTAGATCCAAAGAAACAAAAAGATTGAAAGTGAAAGGAAGGAAAAAAGATATTCCATGCAAATAGTAACCAAAGAGAGCAGGGGTGGCTATATTAATATCAAACAAATAGACTTTAAATCATAAAAGATTACAAAAGACAAAAAAGGACATTATATATTTTAAAAGTTTCACTACAGCAAGAAAATCTAACAATTATAATCATTTATGCACCTAATGACAGACCATCAAAATATATGAATTAAAACTGACAAAACTGAAGGGAGAAATATATAGTTCTACAATAATAGTTGGAGACTTAAATACTGCATTATCAATAATGGATAGAACAACAAGACAGAGGATAATTAAAGAGATAGAGGACTCAAACAACACAATAAGCCAAGAAGATAGACATGTACAGAAAACTCTACACAGTAACAATAACATAATACATTCTTCAGAAGTGCACATGGGACATTTTCCAGGATAGAGCATTTGTTAGGCCACAAATCAAGTCTCAATAAATATAGAAAGATAGATATCATACAAAGTACCTATTCCTACCACAATGGAAGTTAGAAATCAATTACAGAAGTAAAACTGGAAATTTCACAATTTTGTGGAAATTGAACAACACATTCTTAAACAACCAATGGATCAAAAAAGAAATTACATAAGCTGAAATATAATAATGTACACCTAAAATTTACACAATGTTATAAACCAATATGAGTTCAATAAATTAGTTTTTTTAAAAAAAGAAATTACAAATGAAATTAGAAAATACTTAGAAAATTAATGAAAATGGAAACACAGCTTACCAAAACTTATGGGATGCAGTGAAAGCAGCACTTAAGGTGGAAATTTATAGCTCTAAATGCTTACATTAAAAAACAAGGAAGATCTCAAATCAACAACTTTATTTTTTTTTAAACAATTTATTTATTTATTTATTTTTCCCCCAAAGCCCCAGTAGATAGTTGTATGTCATAGTTGCACATCCTTCTAGTTGCTGTATGTGGGACGCGGCCTCAGCATGGCTGGAGAAGCGGTGCGTCAGTGCACAGCTGGGATCCGAACCCGGGCCACCAGCAGTGGATCTCGAGCGCTTAACCGCTAAGCCACGGGGCCGGCCCAACAACTTTAAATTTTACAATTTAAGCAACTAGAAAAAGAACAAACTAAACCCAAAGCTAACAGAAGTAAGGAAATAATAAAGGTTAGAGCAGAGATAAAAGAAATAGAGATTAGAAAAATAATAGAGAAAATTATTGAAATCAAAAGTTGGTTCTTTGAAAAGACCAACAAAATTGACAAACATTTAGCTAGATGGACTAAGAAAAAAAATGAGAAGACAAATTACTAAAATGAGAAATGAAAATGGGGACAATTCTACTGATTCTGTGGAAGTAAAAAGGATATCAAGAAAGTACAATTGTACACCAGCAAATGGGATAACCATTAAAAGTTAACCAGTTAATGCTTGGTAAGTAGTCCTCACACATGACATTAATGCAAAAGCTAAATTGTACTGTGGTAATCTAGGACAGCTAGGAATCATTCAAATACCTAAACCACCCCAAAATGGTTATGGAACCAAAAATAAAAAAGGAGCTGGTAGAAGTAGCCTGCGTTACAATGGATGCACGTCAGCTTAACTTTCTTATCCTCAAACAAGTATATTTTCTCTGAGAAGAAGAAGTGAAAGAAAAAATAAAGGGAGACAAACAAGAAATTGAGAAGCACAGAGGAATAAATAAGGTAGGTACTGAGAAAAGGCAGCAAGAAAAGGATCCAGGGAAACAGAAAAAGGAAGAAGCAGTCATGGCAACTTGTAATCAAGCAGAAAGAAGCCTCTACATTTGTTTCCTCCCTCCAGCTTAAGACCCGGGCTCTGAACCAGCTCTCACGTTACTTTCCTTACACTTCACTTATTATGGCAAGGGGCACTGCAGGCTGATGCGTCTACCTCAGATCCTCTTCTGAAAACAGAGGGATGATGAATAGAGCCATCATGAGAAGTAATGGAAGGCACAAACCGATGGGCCATTATCACTGACCCAAAACAGACACACATAGGTCATGATTATCAAAAGAAGCTTTTTGTGATTAAGTTATCCAAGACCATTGATGGTACAAACTGGTGTTTTCAACTGTGGCCACATGTTAGAATCACCTGGGAGCTTAAAAAAAAAATGCCCAGACCCCATCCCTAGAGATTCAGATTTAATGGGTCTGAAGTAGGCCTTCATTCTTTCCTCGTATGTTTGTTTTTACTTCCTAAATGATTATAATGTGATCCGGGACTTAGAACCACTTTTGCAAAAGAAAATTTCCAAAATATGCTGCCAGCTTATTTATTGCTAAAATAACTAATTTTGGCTATTGTGAACTATTTTTTTTTCAGGTCGAGTACTTTTTCTTTTTATTTCAGTTATCTTATTGAGGTCGCATTGGTTTATAATATTGTAAATTTCAGGTGTACATTATTACATCTCAGTTTCTGAATAGATTGTGTGGTGTTCACCATCAATAGTCTAGTTTTTATCTGTCATCATACATATGTGCCCTTTTACCCCTTTCAACCTCCCCCACCTCCTTCCCCTCTGGTAACCACCAATCTGTTCTCCTTATCGATGTGTTTATTTGTTTATCTTCCACATATGTGTGAAATCATATGGTATTTCTCCGTCTGACTTATTTCACTTAGCATAATATCCTCAAGGTCCATCCATGTTTCGCAAATGGAATGATTTTCTCTTTTTTTATGGCTGAGTAGTATTCTGTTATATATACATATACCACATCTTCTTTATCCATTCATCTGTTGATGGGCACTTGGATTGCTTCCAAGTCTTGGCTGTTGTGAATAATGCTGCAATGAACATAGGGGTGCATATATCTTTTTGAATTAGTTTTTTCATGTTCTTTGGATAAACACCCAGAAGTGGAATAGCCGGATCATATAGCATTTCTATTTTTAATTTTTTGAGGAATCTCCATACTGTTTTCCATAGTGGCTGCACCAGTTTGCATTCCCACCAGCAGTATACAAGGATTCCCTTTTCTCCACATCATCTCCAACACTTATTTCTTTTCTTTTTAATAATAGCCATTCTGATGCGTGTGAGGTGATTTGATTGTAATTTTGATTTGCATTTCCCTAATAATTAGTGATGTTGAACATCTTTTCATGTGCCTGTTGGCCATCTATATATCTTCTTTGGAAAAATGTCTGTTCAGATCCTCTTCCTATTTTTTGATCCAGTTGTTCCTTTTTGTTGTTGTTGAGTTGTACAAGTTCTTTATATATTTTGGAAATTAATCCCTTGTTAGATATATGATTTAATTTTCTCCCAGCTGTTGGGTTGTCTTTCCATTTTGTTAATAGTTTCCTTTGCTGTGCAGAGGCTTTTTTAGCCTGATGTAGTCCCATCGGTTTATTTTTTCTTTTGTTTCCCTTGCCTAAAGGGACATGGCATTCAAAAAGATGTTGCTAAGACTGGACTATTGTGGACTATTAAGCTTTTATTTCCTTGATATCCAGGAGCATTTTCTGAATGCTTTCATCTCATTCATCTGAGAGCATAAAAACAATTTATTAGATTGTTTTTAACACATTTAGGGCACCGTGTAACAACTTTTGTATCTTACTTCATTTCATTTTAGCCACAACCTTACAAGGAGCTCAAGTCAGCCTGAATCCAAAGTCATTCGGTCGTTGATCCAAAGTCCAAATCATACCTCTTTCACCACACTTCTCAAAAGGCATTTTAGTATCTTGTCCTCCGCAATTGGTACTATTCTCTTTGTATGGAATGAAAATGAGTGAGTATTGAGCCTATAACAATCTCATCCTTTTCTCCTGCATTCATGGAAGAAAATTTACCTATCCCAGAAACAAAACGAACTGTCTACTGCTACTATTTTTCTCACGTCTGCTGCAGGGGAAGCTTCTGGCAGTATTAATCACTCTGCTTTTGAGAAGATACAGCGAGGGTATACATATCTTCCTAAATCCTTACATCTTATTTTAATAGGCTATTAACATTCTTAGTTGGCATCATAGCAAAGCTTTAAGATTTCTTCTTTTTTCATAATCAAAGCACCTCATGAAGCACTTGAGTGAATGATGAGATTTCCCAAAGACAAGTTCAGGCACTACTGATAATAGTCCCAGAATAGAGATGTTGGAATGAACTAGTGGAAAGAATCCTGGAGCTGCATTCAGAAGATACAAACTAAAACTGACTTGGAATGCTTCCAAACTGCATGACCTTTTAAGCAGGTCACTCAATCCTTATGAATCCCAATGTCTTCACTGTGGAGATGTTAATTCCTGCCCCAGCCACACGACAAAGCGGTATAGTGAGCACAGAAGAGGCCCTCTTTAGAAGGACATTTTTTACTTTTGAAAAGTACAATGCAAATGGATATGTTTGTTCCTCTTCCCTCTGTCACTTGTCTCCACCCCCGTCCATGAGATACTTGGACTGTCTAAGCACCAAGCACCGCAGACACAGCTCTGTAGGAACAGAAGACCCCAAGTGGCTGAGCAAAGCACCCAATGTAGAAAGTCTGAGACCAGAGACTAGCCTGGGGTAAAGGAATCAGAGAAGACAGTGAAAAAATCAGAGAAAGGTAATGCATACCTCTGTATGCTTTCTAGAATTTATTTTGCAAAACATTAAAAGTATTTATTTCTTATAAGGATATGTGTTTGATGACATTTTTGAGTTTTCTTTATGGAGTAAGTAGCTTCAAAGAAGAAATAGGGACAAGGCTAATCAAAAAGGTTATAATAAAAAGCTCATTTGAAAAGGCTAAATTATATTGGGAGAGAAAATCAACACTTGATCCCCAGATGCTGAAAACATATGACCAATCACGACCAACAATATAGTCCCAGAAACAGAAGGAAAGGGGAGAGTGTTAGGAAGCCCAATATGTTTACTGACATTTGTCTGACTCACTGTCAAAGAAAGAGCATGAAGTAAAACAAAACGAATATGTTCCTAACACACGGTCATAAAATAGCATGAGCCCAGGAAATACTCTTATTTGTAACTTTATTTACATATTAAATTAATCATGAAATAGTAGATATTTCTTAGTATCTATAACTATGGGTCAAGAGCTGTAGTGTTATTATCTCAAATAATATTCACTCCCTTTCACAAGGTGATTACTATTCCATCCCTTCCTTACCATCACCCACAGACTGGAAAATAGAGATTCAGAGAAGCAGAGTACCAAGTGCACAGACTCTAAAGGGTTATTTGTTTGCTTCTTTGTTTGTTATTGTTTCTTCCCCATGGAATCAAAGATTTGCCTTGGCTTAATAATTAACCCTAGAAGGATGCAATTTTTCTTTTAATGAGCTATATTCTTAGCAAGTAGTGAAGGCAAGGATTGAAAAAAATCTATTTCTATCTGCTTAGTGTCAAGTAAGTGAAAATTGGGGGAATTCTATGGCCCAAACTAAATTATTCTTCTTATAGCTAGGAAATCATAAAAATAAAATTTCCAATGGAAAGAAGCAAGTTTCTGGATTAATAATAGAAATAGTTATAATTATCGGTAAGGGAATGTTTATTTATTAGAAGAAATGAAACAGTGGTATATTATTCAATTAATGTGTTAACATGTGTGTCACAGAACTATTTTTGAATCTATGTTTGTTTGGAAAAAATATGATGCCTTTAACAAAAATACCTTTATTTTGCAGTAAGTATAAAAATAAAAATGTAAATGAGAAGTTTATGTAATTTCTAATGCTAAAATAGTGCTCAACTATATCAGTGGTGGTATTGACAACCTTAATTAAGAAGTCATTTAATAATAATGTTAACAAATCTGGTATATTTTTTGAGTCACTTTGACACTACTCAAGGCACAAGCATAATTGATGTTCCTTCACTAATGTACAGGGTAGACTCTGTGAAGAAATATCTGATGTCAGTGGTAAAATTAAGGTCAAGGACTTGACTTAGCAAAACATGGTATAGACTGTAACAGACATTCCCAGATTAAATCACACTTCTATTAACAGCTATACAGATGCTCAGTTGGTAGAACCTAGAATCTCAGAACTGCAGAACCAGAAGGGATTTTTAGAGACTAGTCATTCCCATCATTCTAAAGCAGAGGAAGCTGACACTCAAAGAAGGTGAAGCGATTAGCCCAAGGTCCCAGAGTTGGTTATCAGTGTCTGGACGAGAACCCATGTCCTTTCTACTGTTCCAATTTGTATCTCATTTTGACAAATGAAGGGGCATTTTAATATTTCACTTAAAGATATATTTAGGGTAAATTATTCTGCAGGTAAAATTAGATACAGATGCAGGTAAAAAAATAGTAACAAAACAGACAATTGCATCTTTTGGATCTTTCCTGATTCCCACTCCTGGATATTGCCCAATCTTATATTTAATATTAAAGTACAAGTTCCAGGGAATGCTACCATTCTTCAGGCATTAAAAAGATGTCAAACTAATATTAAATCTGAAACACTTTTTTTTTATTTCAGTTGTACCAATAAAGATCAGCAAATACTGTATTAGCACCACGCTAGTGTGTGGGCGGTACCTCTTTAAATTCAGATGATGAACAAACAATTTCTCAGTTGATCTTTCACAGGATTTAATATTATCCAGAGTTTGGGTGCTAATACAAACTTCTGTGAATCACAAAAGATTTGGCAACAAATGGGCAAATACTTACACTACCAAAATCAAAAACACTACAGTGAATTTCACTTGCTTTCTTTCATGGATAAACCAAACTGAGAGCAGAGCAACAACTTAGAGGAAAAAATATATATTCTAAGATGCATATAGTTTACCACTCGTGATTTTTTAAGACCTTATCATAAACTGGGAATTAGATAGTCTGAGTTCTATTATCTCTTCTATCAAGTCAGGAGGGATTCTGACCCCAACTTTCACTGACCAACTGGGGTAGCCTTTGCAGAAGACAGATACCAATCACATGAGGAGAGTACCGTTGACTTTCATCCCAATAATGAAGATGCAGAGCTAATTATCTCTCCCCATCTTGACCAATGGCAGAACTGGTCATTGTAACTAATAACCTGCAAGTTAATATGGCCTCTTCTCTTGTGTCCATCTCCAGCCTCTAATCATTCAACTTTATTAAGACTACATCTCACTGTCTTAACTTTACTTCAGTGGTTCTCAAAAGTATGGGTGTCAGAATCCCCTGGGAAAATTTGTATTGGCAAAAATACAAAGGCCCATGCCCCATCCTACTTCAAGGAGCCTGGGCCCCTGTGGGCTTTCTTAGCTCTCTAGGTGATTATGATATGAAGTAAATTTGAGAAATACTACTTCAGTGTATGCTCTTTATTTTGCTCTGCCAGATAATTGCATTTGCTTCTTAATTTTTCTGCTTGACTCCAGCTTCTTTCTGTACCAATCCATTCTTCGGCTAGTCAACAAACCTGGAAAACGTCCAAGCTTAAAAAAAAAAATGTAATGGCTGCTTATCACACTTAAGAGTAAGTCCAAATTTATTACACATTTAAGGCCTTTCAGGATTTGGCTTTTGTAATCATCTCCAGCCTCATTTTTCATCACTCCAAATTACGTGTACATTCCCCTAATGCACAATGCTTTCTCAGAGTCCATGTCTTTTTTATAATCATTCATGTATTCATTCAGGAATTATTTATTGAGTTCTTACTATTAGTACAGCACTGGATCCAACACCGGGGATAAGGTGGTAAATAAATGGAAATCATACCAGTTCTCAAGGAGAGAAAAATAGAAAAATGAACACATTCAATTCCTTTAAAATTGGGATAAAAGCTGCAAAGAATAACTGGAGGGTGTTATGAAAGCATATCAGGAGGGCCTCACCTGGTCTGGGGATTTTCAGAGGTAGCTTCCTCAAGGAAGTAATTTTTGAGCTAATGCTTGAAATTTGGATAGAAATTACCAGATAAATGGCAGGAGGTTCAGAGGAGACTTTAAAGACAGGACACAGAATGTGCTAAGGTCTTGTGATGGGAGGAGAATAACATTTTCAAGGAACTAAAAGAAAGTTATATAGGTCAAAACAAAAAGAGAGAAGGGGCGGGAAGCCAGAGATAAAGTTAGTCACAGAGGCAGAAACCAGTCCATGTAAGCACCTATTAGTCACAGTTTTTCTTTATACTAAGAAAAATTGAGTTACTGAATACTTTTAAGCAGAGAATTGTCTCAGATCTGCATTTGAAAAGATTATTCTGATCATGATGTAGAGAATGGATGAGAAGATGGAAAGCATGGATCATACACTTCCTTACAGAAGGCCAGTGCAGCAATCGGGGAGAAGATAGATGGGGCTTGGACTAGGTTTTAAATACCAGAGCTGCAGCAAGAAAAAGAGTGAGGGAAGACCAATTCAAGGCATGCTTTATGATCTACTCAAATAACCATCCTTTTTCCCACCTTATCTTTTGGTTTCATCTGCAAGGCCCAGATTAAATTGGGTGTTCCTACTCCAGTTTTCTTAGCACTGGGCATTTACTCTTGTTACATTTTAATTATGGGTTATACATCTCTCCCCTATACTGAAATGCAAACTATTAAGGGTAGGACTATGTTTTATCTTTATCTCCACTGCCTGGCTAGTTCTATTCTCAAGAAATATTTGAATGAATTGACCATGAACTGACCAGCCACGTGATCTTGGGCGAGTAATTTAACTGCTATATAGTCCTCAATTTCATCACCTAGTAAGTAACCTCATTCTCTCACTCATGTGAGCCCTTGGAACAAAATCCCAGCAAGAAAATATCTTCTTCCTGGCACTGAGGATGTACTGAAACTGAATCAGGCAGATCCCAGTAGGAAAGATTTAACTGAAAAGGATTTCACGAAGGGACTTTTTATAAGGGGCAGGGTTCAGAGACCAACAAGAATATTCGAGGCACCCAGGAGCTCTGATAACAGGAAGCTTCTACCACCCTTACACATAAAATGATAAGAGGAAGGAATAGTGTTAATGAAGCCTCATGAGAGATGGAGCTGTGGGGGGAGGTCTGTCCAACAGAAGTTGTGGCCAGAAGAAGGGCAGTCACTGCCAGGACTACAGCCAGGCAGGGAGTGAGCTGGCAGCAGGAGGAATCTAGTACACCAATTTACCTCTTCTCCCAGCCTTCAGTATCTTTCCAGTGCCTCTGATTGACTGAGCCCATTTGAAAGCCAGAGGGGAAAGAAATCCAGGTGATTCTGTTCTTGAGGTCAATCTCCCAAGCCATTGAGCAGGATATAGAAAGAGGAAGAATGGATCTAGGGAGGCAAATGGAGAAGAATCAGAACAAAAAGAAAAGGTTTACACAACTCTTTAAGAAAACCATGGGAGGACTAAATTTAGTAAGCCAGAAAAGTGAGTCCAAGAAAGCCTTCCAAATGATGATGTGGGCCAGATCAAAAATAAGAGCAAAAATAAGAACATGGAGTACTCAGACAGGATTACCGAACCATGAAAATAATGGCGAGAAAGGATGAAGTAAATGGGTGAAGGGGAGGACAATACAGACAAATGTTAGGCCTGAGTCTTTTGCTGTCTTTCACATTTATGTCCACATCTGTATTTGAAGGGCAAATAATAAGCACCTTTCCAATCAAGAAATC